AACAAAGAGAGAAGGAACAGTAGGATGGAACACTAACAAAGAGAGAAGGAACAGTAGGATGGAACACTCTAACAAAGAGAGAAGGAACAGTAGGATGGAACACTATAACAAAGAGAGAAGGAACAGTAGGATGGAACACTAACAAAGAGAGAAGGAAACAGTAGGATTGGAACACTAACAAAGACGAGAAGGAACAGAGGATGCGAACCACTATAACAAAGAGAGAAGGAACAGTAGGATGGAACACTCTAACAAAAGAGAAGGAACAGTAGGATGAACCACTAACAAGAGAGAAGCAACAGTAGGATGGAATAGGATGGACACTCTAACAAAGAGATAAGGAACAGTAGGATGTAAACACTCTAACAAAGAGAGAAGGGAACAGTTAGGATGGAACACTAACAAAGAGAGAAGGAACGTAGGATGGAACACTAACAAATGAGAGAAGAACAGTAGGATGGAACCACTAACAAAGAGAGAAGGAAACAGTAGGAGGAACACTCTAATCAAGGAGAATGAACAGTAGAGATGAACACTCTAAACAACGAGGAAGGAACAGAGGATGGACCACTCTAACAAAGAGAGAAGGTACAGTAGGATGGAACACTCGAACAAAGAGAGAAGGAAACAGTAGGATGGGAACACTAACAAGAGAGAATGAACAGTAGGATGGAACACTCTAACAAAGAGAGAAGGAACAGTAGGATGGAACACTAACCAAAGAGAGAAGGAACAGTAGGATGGAACACTCTAACAAAGAGAGAAGGAACAGTAGGATGGAACACTAACAAAGAGAGAAGGAACAGTAGGATGGAACACTCTAACAAAGAGAGAAGGAACAGTAGGATGGAACACTAACAAATAGAGAAGGAACAGTAGGATGGACCACTCTAACAAAGAGAGAAGGAACAGTAGGATGGAACCACTAAAAAGAGAGAAGGAAACAGTAGGATGGAAACACTAACAAGAGAGAAGGAACAGTAGGATGGAACATCTAACAAAGAGAGAAGGAACGGAGGCACACTAACAAACCACAGAAAACTTGGAACACCTAAACAAAGAGAGAAGGAACAGTAGGATGGAACACTTAACAAAGAGAGAAGGAACCAGTAGGATGGAACCATAACAAAGAAGAAGGAACAGTATGATGGACAATACAAAGAAAGAAGGAACAGTAGGAGGAACACTCTAACAAAGAGAGAAGGAACAGTAGGATGAGAACACTCTAACCAAAGAGAAGAGAAGGAGAGAAGGAACAGTAGGATTGGAACACTAACAAAGAGGGAAGGAAAAGGAGGTAAAACACGCTACACAAAGAGAGAAGAAACACAGTAGGATGGAACACTAACAAATTAGAGAAGGGAACAGGAGGATGGACCACTCTAACAAAGAGAGAAGGAACAGTAGGTATGGACCACTCTAACAAAGAGAGAAGGAACAGTAGGATGGACATACCAAAGAGAGAGAGGAACAGTCGGATGGAAAACTAACAAAGAACCGAGAACGAAACAAAACAGTAGGATGGAACACTTAACAAAGGAGAGAAGGAACAGTAGGATGGAAACACTAACAAAGAGAGATAGGAACAGTAGGATGAGAAAACTCTAAAAAAGAGGAAGGAACAGTAGGATGGAACACTAACAAAGAGAGAAGGAACAGTATGATGGAACACTAACAAAGAGAGAAGGAACAGTAGGATGGAACATTCTAACAAAGAGAGAAGGAACAGTAGGATGGAACACTCTAACAAAGAGAGAAGGAACAGTAGGATGGAACACTAACAAAGAGAGAAGGAACAGTAGGATGGAACACTAACAAAGAGAGAAGGAACAGTAGGATGGAACACTAACAAAGAGAGAAGGAACAGTAGGATGGAACACTCTAACAAAGAGAGAAGGTACAGTAGGATGGAACACTAACAAAGAGAGAAGGAACAGTAGGATGGAACACTATAACAAATAGAGAAGGATCAGTAGGATGGAACACTAACAAAGAGAGAAGGAACAGTAGGATGGAACACTCTAACAAAGAGAGATATCACTGGTTGTAACAAATAGAGAAAGAGAGAGCAGTACGGTGAAACAGAAAGAGAGAGCAGTAGGATGGAACAGAAAGAGAGAGCAGTAGGGTGAAAAAGGAAAGAGAGAGCAGTAGGGTGAAACATCAAGAGAGAGCAGCAGTAGGGGTTAACAGAAAGAGAGAGCAGTAGGGTGTGAAACAGAAGAGAGAGCAGTAGGATTGGAACAGAAAGAGAGCAGCAGTATGGTGTGAAACAGAAAGAGAGAGCAGGTAGGGTGAAAACAGAAAAGAGAAGAGAGCAGTAGGGTGTGAAAACAGAAAGAGGAGCAGTAGAGTAGGGTGAGTGAAACAGAAAAAGAAAGAGAGAGCTAGTAGGGTGATGAAACAGAAAGAGAGGGAGAAGCAGCAGTAGGGTGAAACAGAAAGAGAGAGCATTAGGGTGTGAAACAGAAAGAGAGAGCAGTAGGTGTGCAACAGAAAGAGAGAGCAGTAGGTGGAACAGAAAGACGCGAGAGCAGTAGGGTGAAACAGCAAGAGAGAGCAGTTAGTAGGATGGAAACAGAAAGAGAGCGCAGTAGGGTTGAAAACAGAAAGAGAGACAGAGAGCAGTAGGAATGGAACAGAAAGAGAGGGAGCAGTAGATGGAACAGAAAGAGAGAGCCAGCAGTAGGGTGGAAACAGAAAGTGAGAGGCAAGTATGGTGATGAAACAGAAAGAGAAAGCAGTAGGGTGAAACAGAAAGATGGGCAGTAGGTTGAAAAAGAAAGAGAGAGCAGAGTAGGATGGAACAAGAAAGAGCCGAGAGCAGTAGAAGTCGGGTGAAACAGAAAGATGAGAGAGCTCAGTAGGATGGACGCAAGAGAGAGCAAGTCGTAGGATGGAACACGAAGAGAGAGCAGTTAGGGTGGAAACAGAAAGAAAAGAGAGCAGTAGGGGTGCATGTGAAACAGAAAGAGAGAGCAGTAGGGGTGATGAAACAGAAAAGAGATAGCAGTAGGGTTTGCAAAACAGAAAGAGTGAGAGCAGTAGGATGGAACAGAAAGAGAGAGCAAGTTAGTAGAATGGAAAACAGAAAGAGAGAGCAGTAGGGTGAAACAGAAAGAGAGAGCAGTAGGATGGAACAGAAAGAGAGAGCAGTAGGATGGAACAGAAAGAGAGAGCAGTAGGATGGAACAGAAAGAGAGAGCAGTAGGGTTAAACAGAAAGAGAGAGCAGTAGGGTGAAACAGAAAGAGAGAGCAGTAGGGTGAAACAGAAAGAGAGAGCAGTAGGATGGAACAGAAAGAGAGAGCAGTAGGGTGAAACAGAAAGAGAGAGCAGTAGGATGGAACAGAAAGAGAGAGCAGTAGAATGGAACAGAAAGAGAGAGCAGTAGGGTGAAACAGAAAGAGAGAGCGTAGCTTATAGGCTGTCCTAATTAAGAGTAGCTCGGAGGGTTTGAACCAGATAATCTTACATAACCTCGTTAAAGAGCACACAGCCTTTGATACTGAGAAGATGAGAATGATGTTCCCACTGGGACCCAGCATACCATGAAGCCCCACGGTGTAGAGCTGAGGTATAGGACAAGATTACATACCCAGCCCCACGGCGTAGAGCTAAGGTATAGGACAAGATTACATACCCTGCCCCACGGTGTAGAGCTGAGGTATAGGACAAGATTACATACCCTGCCCCACGGTGTAGAGCTAAGGTATAGGACAAGATTACATACCCTGCCCCACGGTGTAGAGCTGAGGTATAGGACAAGATTACATACCCAGCCCCACGGCGTAGAGCTAAGGTATAGGACAAGATTACATACCCTGCCCCACGGTGTAGAGCTGAGGTATAGGACAAGATTACATACCCTGCCCCACGGTGTAGAGCTAAGGTATAGGACAAGATTACATACCCTGCCCCACGGTGTAGAGCTGAGGTATAGGACAAGATTACATACCCTGCCCCAAGGTGTAGAGCTGAGGTATAGGACAAGATTACATACCCTGCCCCACGGTGTAGAGCTAAGGTATAGGACAAGATTACATACCCTGCCCCAAGGTGTAGAGCTGAGGTATAGGACAAGATTACATACCCTGCCCCACGGCGTACAGCTAAGGTATAGGACAAGATTACTTACCCTGCCCCAAGGTGTAGAGCTGAGGTATAGGACAAGATTACATACCCTGCTATGGAGCTATAGTGTGCATCCCAAATGGCATCCCTTTATAGTGCACTACTGTTGACCAGATCCCTATGGGCCCTGTGCAAAAGTAGTGCACTATGTAGGGGATAGGGTACCATTTGGGATGCAGACATAGTGTAATGATGAGACACAGGTAGCCCCGTGATATGTATCTGAGGTAAAGGATGAGATAATAATCAGTACAAGTAGACAGTAGACATATCCAGTGTCTTAGATGAGTTTAGCATCTAAGTGCACACATACTGTATACACACACACACACACACACACATTGTGATTGTAGTGCACCGGCCAGGGGTTAGATGAGGTACAGTTATTTGAGAGTCTAGTAAAGAGCCTGGTTATTATTTTCGTTCCTGCTGTGATCACTGGTCATTATGCACCAAGTTTATTTGAAGGAGGAACTATTTTGGAAAAGGATTTTGCCAGTGAGGTTATAAAGGTCCGGAAAGAAATCATTAGCCAAGTGTTTGTATTACCTGTTGTATGTTTCCTGTTGAGAGAAACAGGAAGTGGGTTGCACATAAATTACAGTATTTTTGTAAGTAAGTAGTTGTGCTATTTTTGCATCTACTGATTAGTCTTGTATTATGTATTTAGTAGGGACAATGCATGGGTGTCCTTAATGTAATAAGTATGTAATTTCACTAAAAATAATTATTCTGTTTCTGTTTTCTTTCAGATGACCCTTTCCTGCAACCAGTTTACGTCTGCTAATATTACTACTACAGTAACATAACAGACTTTATCGTTTGTTGGAAATCAACCCTGAAGAGGAAGGTGACATTGGAATCGTCATGGAGTCACTAGAAACTACTGCAGAGGCCAAATGCTCTAAAGAGGCTCTGGAAAAGACAGTTCCCCAGAGGAAGTCAGCAGCACCAGAACCTACGACTGCCCAAACTAAAATACCCCCCTCGGCTGATTCGGAGGGGGAGGGGTGGCATCAAGGCCCAGAACCTGAGGAGGACCAGAGTAGAACCACATGTTGTCCAACAGATAAGTCTGACTCAGGGAAGCTAAGACAATTAGAAGGGAAACCACAGCGCCAATTACTGGATCAACCCTGCAGTCATCCTCATTACAATGTATTAACCTCATACCCACCACAGGAGAGACAGACAGTTCCCTTTGCTAGACAGAAAACGGCAGATCACTTGGTTTCTGCACTGCCACTTCCACATGTCAGCTGTGGAGGGCCCTCTCCTCAGAGGAGCTCCCCCAGTTTACCCGCTTCTCTCCAACACTGTTCCCAGTCAGGGACAGAGGAGCTATCCAAGGACGTGTGTAGTAAGATGGAGCAGAAACAGCAGCAGAGGCCTGGGAAGTATGTTTGTGATTATTGTGGGAGGGCATGTGCCAAACCCAGCGTACTTACGAAGCATATCCGCTCACATACTGGGGAGCGACCCTACCCCTGCGTGCCCTGCGGTTTCTCCTTCAAAACAAAGAGCAATTTATACAAACACAGAAAATCTCATGCTCATTCCGTCAAAGCTGGGACAGTGCCATTTTCAGAACTGGGTTCTTACAATGCCAACATGGAGGACCAGAGATCTTTAGAGGGAGAAGGAGAGTTATACTCTGACGCTGAGCAGAGCTCGGACACAGACGAGGATGATTCATCGCTCTTGGACTCTGTTTCAGCGGAGGAACCAGATAGCACCACTGCTGTTAAAGTACCGAATCTCATTGCCCAGAGACAAGCAGTTACATTAGCATCAACATTATCTGAGGATGGTTCATCCAGGCTCTCGGAGATCAATGCTGCTCAACCTCCAGCTGTTTCTCAGGTCAGTCGTGCGATCCAATCTAACGCCATCAAGCAGAGGCTGGCACTACGGCTCTCAGAGAAAAGGAGCAGTGACACTGACACGTCTCTCTCCCTGCCTAGCCACGGAAGCAAATGTAGCACAGACTCAGGCTACTTCTCATGCTCTGAGAGCATTGAACACCAAACCGGTGGTCCTCCCAACACAAATGCCAAGTCCTATCAAGAGATAATGTTTGGGAAGTGTTACAAGCCGAACCCGAAACAAAAAGCCATAACTGTTGTGACTTGCAGGACAGACTTAATGAACGATCGTAAGATTTCGGAGCGTGGTGTTTCCCGTGTATTCACACAAGAAAAGGAATCAATGGTTGAATCGATCAGAATAAACACACATTCATTTACAAGGGAGGACATTAAGGAGGCTCAACTAGAGGTCTCTGATTCTGGACAGCTGGTCCGGAGCAACTCGATGCCCACGTCCTCGGTGGTATGTCAGGACACGTCACAAGGCCTGCGAGGTAGCCACTCCTTTGATGAAAGGGCGTCCCCTGGAGGCATTAGGAGACTTACGAGACAGGCTGCCTTTGAACACTCTGCACACGATGGACCTCCTGACCACTGCGGAAACATCTCTGATATTTCCAACCTTGGAGTGGAGATGGAAAGTTTCACCATCCAACAAAAGCAAGCGATGGAATTTGCGACGAGAAAACGACGGAAGGAAAAATGTGTTGTGGAGGAGGAGGATGTAGGAGGCCAGTATCACACAGACTATGACCACTCTGAAGAGATGAGGGACTATGATTCAAAGCAAGCCTCTCAAGGTGCTCTAACCACTATATCCTCAGTGAAAGGACATGCCCAAAGCGTGCATACACAGGAAATGTGGGAAAAGAGAGAGAGAGAAGAGAGAAGATCTTTAGGTAACGTCATCTCTGTGATTCAACACACTAACTCCCTAACCAGGTCTCTCTCTGAACAGTCAGACTCTTACAACTACCAGAGACAGGATAAGCCTTCCTCAATGGATGTGGAGGAGCAAACCGAAACTCGAGAGATGCATAAAAGGACTGAGATCTTTGCACACCAGCTGAGTGACAGTAGATTATTAGATAAATCGTATCAAATGACACCTAAGCTAGTCCGTCAGTCCAACATACCGGTCCCAGAGATCAGGGTGACTGTAGAACCAGACAGTCCAGAGAAAGATAAAGCAGCTGAAGTGAAACAGGTGAAGGTGAAGGAACCTGATAGACATATAGAGGAGTTCCAATGGCCTCAGAGGAGTGAAACCCTGTCTCAGTTCCCCCCAGAGAAACTCCCTCCAAAAAAGAAGAGACTGCGCTTAGCTGACTTGGAGCACTCCTCTGGTGAGTCTAGCTTCGAGTCGGCCTGTACAAGCCTCTCCCGGAGCCCCAGTCAAGACAGCAACTTATCCTACTGCTCCAGCTTCTCGTTTGACCGAGAGGAGAGAGAGAGAGAGGTTATCCCCAAGCCAGCTTCCCCGGCGGCTAGACAGGATGAGTTTGGCAAAGCGTTGGAGTTCTTAGCGGTGCCAGGAAGCGGCCACTCCCTCTCTGTCCTGAACCAGCGTCAACAACATGAAATGAGACGTTCCTCTTCAGAACAGGCACCGTGCCACTCCCAGTGCAGAGAGCTCCCAGAGGTCCGCAGCGTATCGTTTGACTACGGCAGTCTCTCTCCAACGGCCAAAGTTAGACATGCGGAACTCAGCGCCAGCTACTCAGAGCCCAGACGGGGTAACTTGGTAAGACAGGAGTCCTTGAATGTTGACCTTGAATTTGCACATCCAGTCCTTCCGCTAAATATTCTTCCTCAGTACCTCAGCAATGCCCTGTCGTTCTCAGCCACTGCTCTGCTCTCTCATTCTCTGCCAATGTTCGCCCCTCAGCCGTCACACTCTGGTCTCCTAGTTCCTGTTAGAATCCAGACTCACGTACCCTCCTACGGTAGCATCACATATACCACTGTGTCGCAAATTGTAGATGATCCATACAAAAGCGTTAGCTCCACCAGAACCTCTTCTCTCACTTCTCACTTTGCAAATGTAGCAACGAATTTGGATACACCTAATCTATTATTAGGACACCCCCGAGGACTGTTGACCAACCCAGTCCAGGTTCAAGTTCTAGATCTGCCCCCAGCTAAGCTTAAGACAGGCATCCCTCTCTCCCTGACCTCCAGGACGATCTCCACCACTAACTGTGGGTCCAGTGGTGGGTCCAACAAGCGCATGTTGTCTCCAGCCAGCAGCTCGGACCTGTTCATGGAGGTCAAACAGCAGAAACGGGTCAAAGAGGAGAAAATGTACGGTGAGATAGTGGAGGAGTTGGGTGCTGTGGAGTTAGGGAATTATAATGTGACTGAAGAGAACAAGCAGAGTTTAAAGTCAGAGTTTAAAAGTGACACCAACCAGCTAGCATCAGCTGGCTTTCCTTCAAAATCCTCTTTGTCGGCGTCATCCTCACTTCCTTCTCACAACGAGCCAGCAAGTGGAAGCTTCATCTCACCTCAGCAACAATGGTCAGAAAGTCCTGATTCCCCTATGGATAACTCCCCAACGGAAGCAAGCCTACATCCACACGCTCTGCTTTCTCTAAAGGATTTCAATGAGTCTGGCATGGACAGCAAGGCACAGATGGATGTGCTGGTGCAGTTAGTCAAAGGTCAGGGCATCCTCATCTCTGACGGGGAAAACACCAAACTGATATCTCAGTTTCCAAGTCTACGCACAGTGACAGGTGTGAGTTGGTGCTATCTGAACTACACCAAGCCAAACAGCACTCACAGCAGCTCTCCCCTGTCCTCTGTGTACGCTTCGTGGTACGTCAGTTCCCATAACCCCAACCCTCCTAACCTCAACACCAGTGCCACCCTGGCTCTGCTCCGCTCCAAACAGACGACTAACAGATGGGTGTACACCATGGCTGCCATGGACCAACCTGGGACTGGGAAGCTGGTCTCCTCCTCACTCTTATGGAGGAAGCGGCTCGGGCTGGTGAGAACCTTGATTGTTAATTATTTATTTGGTCCAAATCTCCCATAAATGTCTATATTGAATGTTTGCAATCCTGGAATCGAGTTACATCATAAACATATAATCTAATTGTAACCATATTATACTTATTCCTATATACCTAAACTGCATGTTCACAGAATGTTTATTTATTCATTCTTTATATTCATGTTTATTTATCTGTCTCGTTTAGCTGCAGAGCAAACCGGTGCTCAAAGAGCTGGACGTGATCTCCTATGGAAGGAAACTGAAGGATGCCAGCTGCAGGGTAAAAGCAGGGAAGGAGGACTGGAAAGACAGGGAGGTGTCCTCGAAACAAACAGCAGTGCCAACACCGACACCAACACCAACCCGGATCAAAATCTTTGAAGGAGGGTCAGTTATGATAATATCACATCAATCAATAAGCGATAAAATATTACTTATAATGTTAGTTTGTAATGTGTACATGTTCTGTAAAGGGGTTACGCCTGTTGGTACAAATTATTATTTAACCTTTATTTAACCTGGTAGTCCCATTGAAGTCAGAATACCTCTTTAAAAGGGAGACCTGGAATTAGATTGAATAGCTGTTTTCACTTACCTTGCATGTCTATAGCTTCTTATAATATAGACCACTTGTCAAACTTATTCCACGGAGGGCCAAGTGTCTGTGGGTTTTTTGCTCCTCCTTTGTACTTGACTGATCAATTCAGGTCATTGATTAGTTAGGAACTCCCCTCACCTGGTTGTTTAGGTCTTAATTTGGTCCCAAATTGAAAGGAAATAACAAAAACGAACACACACTCGGCCCTTCGTGGAACGAGTTTGACACCCCGATATAGAACATCACATTAAGGATGGTTTTCCTCCCTCAGGTTCAAGTCCAATGAGGACTATGTGTACGTGAGGGGCCGAGGCCGGGGGAAGTATATCTGTGAGGAGTGTGGCATCCGCTGTAAGAAACCTAGTATGCTGAAAAAACATATACGCACCCACACTGACGTCAGACCCTACGTCTGCAGGGTCTGCAACTTCGCTTTCAAAACTAAAGGTGGGTTTCGCTTCTTCTTCCATTGAAATGAATGAGAGAAGAGCTGAACAAGCACCTTGTGACAACTGCTGATTTAAAAAGGGATTGATCAAATAAACTAGATTGAATGACGATTTAATTGATGACACCGGTAACATTGAATGAGAATGATGATAAGATAATCAGCTAAATGAATCTTTAACATGTTTGTCCTACAGGAAACCTGACCAAGCATATGAAGTCAAAGGCTCACATGAAGAAGTGTCTTGAGCTTGGGGTGTCAGTCACAGTGGATGATACAGAGACACTGGAATCTGGTAAGATATCGACCAATGACCAGGGAATTATTCAGATATTTAGAACTGATTGTGTAACCCATGGTAACTGTACCGTAGAAAGAATGACAGGAACACATTTGATGTATCCTTTGTCTTTATTTGTGTTCTTTCAAACAATGCAGATTACATCCAGCAAGACTCGAAGACCGGGGTCTTGAGCACAGCCAAACACCAGTTCTCAGATGCAGACGACTCTGATGGCATGGATGAAGAGATCGACGATATCGACGAAGATGACGATGACGATGATGACTACGACGGTGACTCTACTCCCAAGATCCTTTCCCGGAGCACCAGCCCTCAGCTCTGCGGCGGAGCCTCTCTGTCGGTCACAGCTACCGCCGTCATCCAGGGTGTGTCGTCAGACCTCCATGGCTGTCCCCTCAGTACCGTCATCCAGGGTGTGTCGTCAGACCTTCATGGCTGTCCCCTCAGTACCGTCATCCAGGGTGTGTCGTCAGACCTCCATGGCTGTCCCCTCAGTACCGTCATCCAGGGTGTGTCGTCAGACCTCCATGGCTGTCCCCTCAGTACCGTCATCCAGGGTGTGTCGTCAGACCTCCATGGCTGTCCCCTCAGTACCGTCATCCAGGGTGTGTCGTCAGACCTTCATGGCTGTCCCCTCAGTACCGTCATCCAGGGTGTGTCGTCAGACCTTCATGGCTGTCCCCTCAGTACCGTCATCCAGGGTGTGTCGTCAGACCTCCATGGCTGTCCCCTCAGTCCCTTTCATCCCCTCCCCAGCTGCCTCTCAACCTACACCCTGTCTGGCATCGATGTCCACCCCCATCCCCCCTCCATGGGCAGGAGGACAGGGCCAGACCGGAGGACTGTCTTGGCCTCCAGCCTGGACAAGGAGGACTGTTGCCTGGCCATGCTGTCTCCTGACCAGGGCTGTCTGTTCTTCGACCCCTACCCCACCTGTCTGCTGTCCCCCGGCTGGGAGTCCCCTCTGAGGGAACCGCCTCCCTCCCGCCTCCGCTACCCCTCACCCCGGAGAGACCACTCCCCACGGGGGCGCTCCTCACCTCGATGGGACACCTCCCCGCTGAGGCCCAGCTCCCCCAACCTCACCCCCATCCAGCACCTCTCCCCGGCCTGTATGGAGAGGCCCCTGTCCCCAGGTGGAGTGGACCTGGCTGGGAGGAGACAGAGGGTGGTGCTCAGGGCTGTGTCTCCACGTAGAGGAGGCTCACAACATAGAGACTCTGGGGAGAAAACCAGGCAGCAAGCCAAGGCTGAACTGGTCCAGCAGGGAGGAGCCATTGAAATGGATATGGTATGTAATATAGTAGTTTACAGTATGTTTTCATTGATTAGTATATGCTTGTCCATGCAAAACTAGTTACACTGACTTAATTTCAACTGACTTCATTTGAACTCAGTTCAACAACTGGATTGTTAGTGTTCTTGATGTAAAACCTTTATTAATCACAATGTTTTTTTTACACCATTGGTGTCCATGCATTTTTTCTTGATTGTCATATAAAACTTGTTTCAAGCAAGAAACTGTAGAAAAGTGTATTCTGATAGTCACTATAACTTGTTGTCTTTAGGATCAGAGGAGAAGTGTGCCTCCTGGTTCCTCCTGCTCCAGCTGTCCCCATCAGAACCTCTTCAGCCACCTTCCCCTACACTCTCAGCAGCAGGCTGGGACTCTCCTCCCCATGGTCCCTATCGGAGGGATCCAGGTACTGCACTCCCTGCCCTCCTGCAGCTCTGACCGGACCCATCTGTCAGCCCTGTCCCCTCAGAAGACTGAGCTCCACCAGGACAGCACTAAGGAGGGATCTGTCCGCCTGGCGGCCCTAGGTGCAGAGGACTCAGGAGCCCAGCAGCAGGGGAGGGGGATGGAGAGGGAGAGGGAGAGGGAGAGGGGGATGGAGATGGAGAGGGAAAGGGAGATGGAGAGGGGGATGGAGATGGAGAGTGAGGGGGGGATGGAGAGGGAAAGGGAGATGGAGAGTGAGGGGGGGGATGGAGAGGGAGAAGCCGTCCCCCCACCAGACACCCCGGGACTCAGAGGAGGAGAACCCACCTGTCTCTGTCCTCACGGTCAGGAACCCTAAGCAGGAAGAGGTTCTTCAGACCTGCACCAAGGCCATTGCCTCCCTCAGGATCACCTCTGAAGAGCATCTATAGACTGGGGTTGCGTCCCAAATGGCACCCTATTCGCTATACAAAGCACTACTTTTGACCAGAGGGCTCTCGTCAAAAGTAGTGCACTATATAAGGAATAGGGTACCATTTGGGACGTATGTCATTTGGGATGTACCTTGGAGCTTCCTCCAGGAGCAGCTGAGCCCCCCCCCCCCATCCATCGTCCAGTCCTCAGCTAGCATGGTTCTAGATCAATTTGTGCTGTCTTGACAACTGATATGGTCACACCAACTTCTCTGGTCACATATGAGTTGGCAAGACAGCACAAACAAATCTGGACCCAGGCTACGTCCACAGTCCCTCTCAACTTCATTCCTCTAGACAGACAGACAGACAGACAGACAGACAGACAGACAGACAGACAGACAGACAGACAGACAGATAGACAACATGACTTCATCCAGAATCCATTGTTTGGGTGTTGGGGGACTCTTTTCTCAGTCTCATCTACTTCAGGTTTCTTCATGTTAGTAGTGCAAAGGTCATGTGTCTAACATGCCCCTCACCCCACCATACTATGATCTATATCTGAGAGGAAAACAAACCTTTAAATACATAAACAACACAGACTTTATACTCTCTATGAATTCTCTATGAATTAAGAGTGTTTTTGAACTTTTAGGTCAGTTGATTTCTCGCAGCAAGGGACAAGCAAGATGACAGTTGAAGTGGTGGACACAGGTGCAATACATGGGATTTGAAGAGAATGCTTCTACGTTAATTATCCTTGCGTACACTTCCACACAAACAGAATAATTTATATTTATTATACCCCATAACCCACTCTTAACACGTATGTGTACTATTTTCTAAATAGGCTTGTTGTTTAAATTGTATTCATATCGAATTATGATAGTTAAGGATTTGATTCTTGGAGAAATTGGAAAGGAAATAAAGGGGAAAGTATCTAAAATATGAAAGTATTTGAAAACCGAATCTGACCAAATTTAGCGTAGACTTGCTTCTTGTCCAGTTTGGTGCTTTTGATTTAAGAGCAAAGGTCTGTCCCTTTTCTTTGCTTTCTACGTGTGTTTTAAATCATGTTATTAAGCAAGGAAAAAGTGAATGTCATGTTTAAGGAACTTTGAATCAGAATTGTCTGACGTGACAGTGTTATTATCAAAAGAAATTGCACAAAAAAATTGCTTTTACTTTGTGGGAAATAAATTGCCGGTTTGTATAGCTACGTTTTATGTAAAATGTATCTATTTGAAATATCTGTTATGTTGCAAATTCTCAATGTTGTTGTTTTAGCTTTTTGAGCAAAATGCATGAGTTCTTGCTATTGCACAAATAGAGAAGTGAATACTGTAAGATGTCTTTATATATTAGAAAAGTATGCTTTTATTGATGATGGTAAATATTTGACTACTATTTATATGGCGTATATGATCTACACTTTATGCAACAGTGTGTCCCACTGACCCATGCTTATGAGATGCTTATGAAGTCATGTCATTGCTTTATAACTTATGGCTTTAATCAATTGTTGTTCGTTATTCTGGCCTTTGAACCTTTATGAATTGAAATAAGCACTTTCATCCTATCTTTGATAACTGACTGAGATGGTTATTGTGGAGAAATAAAAACAATCATGTGTTCTAGTGTGACTTCAAACATTCCACTACTTTTAAATGATTTGTTATCTCAGTGTCCATGTACAGGGCACATAAGTTTAACTTCTCTTTCATTTCAAGTGTGAATTAATTTTGCTTAACATTTTTGGTAAAGAAGTTGAGTGGTTTGTAACGACGTACATTGAAATTCTAATTTCCTTTATGTCCGTGTGCAGTTTTATGATTTAAACTATTTATTCAGTGTTGAATTTGCGGTGTTGAATTCACATAACTTTTTATGTGGATTGTAGATACAGAGATAAAAGACTAAGATGATATTTTCAGAAGTAAAAAATACCGGCTGCATTTAACACGATGTTAGGAAATTGACTTGACATTTACAGGTTCACCATTGAGACATGAGTTTGTGGATTGATTTGAAACACACAACTCAACATGTTTACATTACAGTGTTATAATCAGCTTTACCTCTCACAAGGATGTCTGGGGTAGCTATCGCTGTACCCACTCAATGTACATGCTGTCTCGGATCATATTGTACGGTATGTAGCACATAGCTACAGGGTTGTGTTATGTGTTTATACAGGTGGGGAAGGGATATTCTTGCAACCGATGGATACTACTTTCTGTTGGATTTCATTTGACTGCAGATGATCAGTTTGTTTCATCTCTCCCTCTCCTGCTACTGAACATAACTACACTGAGTATACCAATCATTAGGAACACATTTCCTAATATTGAGTTGCACCACCCCTTTTTGCCCTCAGAACATCCTCAATTCGTCGGGGCATGGACTCTACAAGGTGTCGAAAGCGTTCCACAGGGATGCTGGCCCATTTTGACTCCAATGCTTCCCACAGTTGTGTCAAGTTGGCTGGATGTCCTTTGGGTGGTGGACCATTCTTGATACACACAGGAAACTGTTGAGCGAGAAAAACCCAGCAGCCTTGCAGTTCTTGACACACCAGTGCACCTGGCATCTACTACAATACCCCGTTCAAAGGCACTTAAATATTTTGTCTTGCCCATTCACCCTCTGAACACATACACAATCCATGTCTCAATTGTCTCAAGGCTTAAAAATCCTTCTTTAACTTGTCTCCTCCACTTCATCTACACGGATTGAAGTGGATTTAACAAGTGACATCAATAAGGGATCATAGCTTTCACCTGGATTCCCCTGGTTAATCTATGTCATGTTCTTAATGTTTTGTATACTCAGTGTATAGTATTTTCTGTTGCAGAGTATCGTCTGTGTTTTATTCCGCTGTGTCATATCTATTGAACTGCCTTGTGCTTCTCATGTTTATTAAAGTCTGTGTTAAATCACAGATCCTTTACCTCTCAGCTCAGATATTGAAGCAGAAGCTATGTGGCTAATTACATTTACATTTGAGTCATTTAGCAGAGTCTCTTATCAGTGCGACTTACAGTCAGTGCATTCATCTTAAGATAGCTAGGTGATACAACCAACCACATATCACATGTAAGATAATTCCCTTGTTTAGTTATTCACATCATTACAGGGCAGTTTTCTTCTTCTTCTATTTCTGTCTTTATGTTGTTTGTTATTGTTTGGTGCTCTACTTTTGACAAATTAATTTAGTATTGTTTTTAAATGAATATACAGTACCAGTCAAAAGTTTAGACACACCTACTCATTCCAGGGTTTTTCTTTATTTTTACTATTTTCTACATTGTAGAATAATAGTGAAGACATCAAAACTATGAAATAACACATATGGAATCATGTAGTAACCAAAAAAGTGTTAAACAAATGAACATTTATTTTATATTTGAGATTTTCAAAGTAGCCACACTTTGCCTTGATGACAGTTTTGCACACTATTGGCATTCTCTCAACTTCTTCATGAGGTAGTCACCTGGAATGCATTTCAATTAACAGGTGTGCCTTGTTAAAAGTTAATTTGTGGAATGTATTTCCTTCTTAATGCGTTTGAGCCAATCAGTTGTGTTGTGACAAGGTAGGGGTGGTATACAGAAGATAGCCCTATTTGGTAAAAGACCAAGTCCATATTAGGGCAAGAACAGCTCAACTAAGCAAAGAGAAACGACAGTCCATCATTAGTTTAAGACATGAAGGTCAGTCAATCCGGAACATTTCAAGACCTTTCTTCAAGTGCAGTCACAAAAACCATCAAGCGCTATGATGAAGCTGGCTCTCATGAGGACCGCCACAGGAATGGAAGACCCAGAGGATAAGTTCATTAGAGTTAACTGCACCTCAGATTGCAGCCCAAATAAATGCTTCACAGAGTTCAAGTAACAGACACATCTCAACATCAACTGTTCAGAGGAGACTGCGTGAATCAGGCCTTCATGGTCGATTGCTGCAAAGAAACCAATAATAAGAAGAGACTTGCTTGGGCCAAGAAACATGAGTAATAGACATTAGACCGGAGGAAATCTGTCCTTTGATCTGATGAGTCCAAATTTGAGTTTTTTATTCCAACCGCCGTGTCTTTGTGAGACACAGAGTAGGTGAACGGATGATCTCCGCATGTGTGGTTCTCACCATGAAGCATGGAGGAGGAGGTGTGATGGTGTGGGCATGCTTTGCTGGTGACACTCTCAGTGATTTATTTAGAATTCAAGGCACACTTAACCAGCATGGCTACCACAGCATTCTGCAGCGATACGCCATCCCATCTGGTTTGCGCTTAGTGGGACTATCATTTGTTTTTCAACAGGACAATGACCCAAAACACACCTCCAGGCTGTGTAAGGGCTATTTGACCAAGAAGGAGAGTGATGGAGTGCTGCATCAGATGACCTGGCCTCCACAATCACCCAACCTCAACCCAATTGAGATGGTTTGGGATGTGTTGGACCGCAGAGTGAAGGTAAAGCAGCTAACAAGTGCTCAGCATATGTGGGAACTCCTTCAAGACGGTTGGAAAAGCATTCCAGGTGAAGCTGGTTGAGAGAATGCCAAGAGTGTGCAAAGCTGTCATCAAGGCAAAGGGTGGCTACTTTGAAGAATCTAAAATCTAAAATATATTTTGATTTGTTTAACGCTTTTTTGGTTACTACATGATTCCATATGTGTTATTTTATAGTTTTGATGTCTTCGCTATTATTTTACAATGTAGAAAATAGTAAAAATAAAGAAAAACCCTTGAATTTGTAGGTGTGTCCAAACGTTTGACTGGTAGTGTACTTCGTTCTCACCCATGTCTGAATGTATACTGCAGCTTATTTTGAACAGGTACTACCAAGTATTAATAATATTATCAGCAATTTATCTCCTTAAAACTTTACCTTCGTGCTTGTTGATAATGACTGTCCATAACTATCCGCGTAGCCTATAGCGTAATCTACAGTTTAGAATTAGAGCAAAGCCAGTGAGGTTTCAGATGATATCATACTCCTCTGGGAGGGAGAACTGTAGAACAGAGTGATATAGAGATTCATATTCTAATGACATCCTCTGGTGAGGAATAGTCACTGCATTCAGCTCTTACTCAGAGAAAGGGGCGGACTTGCACCTAAATACAATCATTTCTAATCCAGCCACTGTTACTAAGCACACCCTGATCAATTATACAATGGATTTCATGTGTATATTAGTCATAAAATGTCTTAGCTGTCTATGAATTCAGTTGAAATATATTGCAGAGTGAGTAAAAGATGGTTGCTGGTTATCTAGTAGATCTACATAGTATAGATCTACATAGTACTGTTGCAAAGTCCTTAAAGTGTCTTGGTCAATATAAATCTAACTCTTGTCTTTAGGTCATTACACGCTTGGAATCATAAGGTTTGTGTGGTTTCATTGTGGGACGTCCTGATCAAGGAAAGACATTTATACGTTGTCCTGTCTCTCTGCCTTTCTATCTCTATGACTTTTTCTCTCTCTCTCTATTGGTGTCAGTATGTTCCCCTGTCTCTCTCTCTCTATTGGTGTCAGTATGTTCCCCTGTCTCTCTCTCTCTATTGGTGTCAGTATGTTCCCCTATCTCTCTCTCTCTATTGGTGTCAGTATGTTCCCCTGTCTCTCTCTCTCTATTGGTGTCAGTATGTTCTCCTGTTTCTCTCTCTCTATTGGTGTCAGTATGTTCCCCTCTCTCTCTCTATTGGTGTCAGTATGTTCCCCTGTCTCTCTCTCTATTGGTGTCAGTATGTTCCCCTGTCTCTCTCTCTATCGGTGTCAGTATGTTCCCCTGTCTCTCTCTCTATTGGTGTCAGTATGTTCCCCTATCTCTCTATCGGTGTCAGTATGTTCCCCTGTCTCTCTCTCTATTGGTGTCAGTATGTTCCCCTGTCTCTCTCTCTATCGGTGTCAGTATGTTCCCCTGTCTCTCTCTCTCTATTGGTGTCAGTATGTTCCCCTCTCTCTCTCTCTATTGGTGTCAGTATGTTCCCCTGTCTCTCTCTCTCTGTGTTGGTGTCAGTATGTTCTCCTGTTTCTCTCTCTATCGGTGTCAGTATGTTCCCCTATCTCTCTCTCTATTGGTGTCAGTATGTTCCCCTATCTCTCTCTCTATTGGTGTCAGTATGTTCCCCTGTCTCTCTCTCTCTATTGGTGTCAGTATGTTCCCCTGTCTCTCTCTCTATTGGTGTCAGTATGTTCCCCTCTCTCTCTCTGTGTTGGTGCCAGTATGTTCCCCTGTTTCTCTCTCTATCGGTGTCAGTATGTTCCCCTGTCTCTCTCTCTCTATTGGTGTCAGTATGTTCCCCTGTCTCTCTCTCTATTGGTGTCAGTTGTTCCCCTATCTCTCTCTCTATTGGTGTCAGTATGTTCCCCTGTCTCTCTCTCTATTGGTGTCAGTATGTTCCCCTATCTCTCTCTCTATTGGTGTCAGTATGTTCCCCTATCTCTCTCTCTATTGGTGTCAGTATGTTCCCCTGTCTCTCTCTCTCTATTGGTGTCAGTATGTTCCCCTGTCTCTCTCTCTGTGTTGGTGTCAGTATGTTCTCCTGTTTCTCTCTGTGTTGTTGTCAGTTGTGTCCCTGTGGTTTATTTTGAGGTCTTATCACAGCTGTTCTATATGTGGGGCAAGAGCCCCCCCCCCCTCCCCCTCCCCCCTCTGTCTCTCTCTCTCTTTCCCTCCTTCTCACGTCTACTTTTCTTTCTCATAGACCCAGGACCTTCTGGTAAGAATCAGTTCAATATCTCGTATGCGTTTTGGGTGATGTAGACTGAAATATTTTCGTGGGTATATGTTGCCTGTTGTCTTGTGGAATTGTAGGGATTGTTTGAAAGTATTCTGGATAAGCTATTTCTTTGGAATGGGTGATAGACTCGTCATATTTGTGAAGTAGTGTACTATTTGTATCACGGAGGACCACTTGTTCTTTGGCATTTTATGAGAATTTGTCAAGTACAATATAGGCCAACTGTTTTTCCTGTTGTCATGTTGTATCAAATTAGTGTTCCGTTCCAAAAGTTTTTATTGGAATGGATTAGGCAGGCTGCTTGGAGGTTGATGTCCTACCACACTGCTCTATCTGAAAGAATAATTAGAAATATATACAAATGCAAAAGTGTCCCATTTTTAGACAAGAAGCTGTTGAATCTAGTATTACAATAGAAATAGATGTTCATTTCTTCTGGGTAAAATGAAACTAACTCTGTTGTGTAGTCACTCTTCTGGGTATTTCAAGTGCTGTTGTTAGTGCCATCAATCCATATACTTCTACAATTTACACCAACAAAAGTGAGGTTTTGAAATAAATAAATAACATGACCATATTAAGAAGTTTCTAAAATAGCATGTGGGCCCAGAACAGGTGGCAAGTGCTCTGACTAATCAGCTCTGTCTGTGAAAGCACTGAGCAGGGGGAAGCGTAGACTGAGTGGAGGCTTTGCACCCTGGCAGCAGACTAATTATATGCACACAAACAGGCCACAGTCAAGAGCTACCACCAGACTTCAATACGCAAACAGACAGTGGAAGTTAATATATTATAAGTTGTGAATCAGATTGACTATGTCATTTAGGGTAATTAAAAACATAGAAATCAAGAGAAAACTGTTTTAATAATATTGGAAAAGATTCTGTTAAAGATTGGATTGACCTTGGCTTGATTGTTTTCCACTTATACAGTAGTATAATAGTAGAAGTATATTACTATACACAGTGGACAAAACATTAGGAATGGATCTGAGCGGTAAAAGATCTGTGATTTAACACAGACTTTAATAAACATGAGAAGCACAAGGCAGTTCAATAGATATGACACAGCGGAATAAAACACAGACGATACTCTGCAACAGATAATACTATACACTGAGTATACAAAACATTAAGAACACCTGTTCTTTCCATGACATAGACTGAACAGGTGAATCCAGGTGAAAGCTATGATCCCTTATTGATGTCACTTGTTAAATCCACTTCAATCAATGTAGATGAAGGAGAGGAGACAGGTTAAAGAAGGACGTTTAAGCCTTGAGACAATTGAGAGATGGATTGTGTATGTGTTCAGAGGGTGAATGGGCAAGACAAAATATTTAAGTGCCTTTGAACGGGGTATGGTAGTAGGTGCCAGGCACACTGATTTGAGTTTGTCAAGAACTGCAATGCTGCTGGGTTTTTCACGCTCAACAGTTTCCCATGTGTATCAAGAATGGTCCACCACCCAAAGGACATCCAGCCAACTTAACTCAACTGTGGGAAGCATTGGAGTCAACGTTGGCCAGCATCCCTGTGGAACACTTTCAACACCTTATAGAGTCCATGCCCAACGATTTAAGGCTGTTCTGAGGGAAAAGGGGGAGTGCAACTCAATATTAGGAAGGTGTTCCTAATGTTTTGTACACTCAGTGTAAAGCACTGCTTTTATTTCCAAGCATGAGAAACCAATCAAGGGATTTGCATTGTGAGTGTGTGTAATAGGGCATAGTCTCTAGGTTTTGTCTCATTAACTACCATCCTTCATGGAAACGTTGAACTAGAATATAACCACATTAGTTTTAGTCATTCTAATTCTATGCTGTTTCATTCTCGCTCAGTGCTAGCCTATCAGAATGGAGACTTGTCAGGTGAGTGGCCAGGGGGAGGGTCAGATGGACCTGACAGAGGACCTGAGCAAGCAGCTAGAGGACATCATCAGTACCTACCAGGAGGCCAGTGAGGAGCCCGCCGAGCAGGAGGAGGTGGAAGAGGAGGTGCTGAAGGAGCAGGTCACTAAGAAGAGCTCCGCCAAGGACCAGAAACTGGAGAAGAAGATGCTGAAAAGCCTTGGTGGGTTGTTGTCTTCTTCTTCTTTGGTTCTATTCATCATCAATAGTTATAGTGTTACAGTGTATCAACAGTTTTAGTGTTATTAACTGTACTGTAACATGATCTCTATTTAGGTAAAGAGGCCATGCTATTGATGCAAAGTTTGAACAAGCTCGGCACTCCAGAGCAGAAACTGGAGGCCATCATCAAGAAACATGCTGAGCTGGTGAGCGAGCGTGCTGATCCATGAGGTAGTGTTGATCCATGCACCAGAGGCAGTGGTGGAAAAAGTACCCAATTGTCATACTTGAGTAAAAGTAAAGATACCTTAATAGAAAATGACTCAAGTAAATGTGATAAGTCACCCAGTAAAATCCTACTTGAGTAAAAGTCTAGAAGTATTTGGTTTTAAATATACTTAAGTATCAAAAGTAAATGTAATTGCTAAAATATACTTAAATACCAAAAGTAAAAGTATAAATAATTTATAATTCCTTATATTAAGCAAACCAGACAGCACCATTCTTGTTTTTTTAAATGTAAGGATAGCCAGGGGCACGTTCCAACACTCAGACATCATTTACAAATGAAGCATGTGTTTAGTGAGTCCGCCAGATCAGAGGCAGTAGGGATGACCAGGGATGTTCTCTTGATAAGTGTGTGAATTTGACCATTTTCCTGTCCTGCTAATCATTCAAAATGTAACGAGTACTTTTGGGTGTCAGGGTAAATGTATGGAGAAAAAAGTACATAATTTTCTTTAGGAAGTTAGTGAAGTAAAAGTAAAAGTAGCCAAAAATATAAATAGTAAAGTAAAGTACAGATACCCCATCAAACTACTTAAGTAGTACTTTCAGGTATTTTTACTTAAGTATTTTACACCACTGCCCAGAGGTAGAGTTGATCCATGCCCCAGAGGTAGTGTTGATCCATGCCCCAGAGGTAGTGTTGATCCATGCCCCAGAGGTAGTGTTGATCCATGCCCCAGAGGGAGTGTTGATCCATGCCCCAGAGGTAGTGTTGATCCATGCCCCAGAGGGAGTGTTGATCCATGCCCCAGAGGTAGTGTTGATCCATGCCCCAGAGGTAGTGTTGATCCATGCCCCAGAGGTAGTGTTGATCCATGCCCCAGAGGTAGTGTTGATCCATGCCCCAGAGGTAGTGTTGATCCATGCCCCAGAGGTAGTGTTGATCCATGCCCCAGAGGTAGTGTTGATCCATGCCCCAGAGGTAGTGTTGATCCATGCCCCAGAGGTAGTGTTGATCCATGCCCCAGAGGTAGTGTTGATCCATGCCCCAGAGGGAGTGTTGATCCATGCCCCAGAGGGAGTGTTGATCCATGCCCTAGAGGTAGTGTGCTGTGGTGTGTAGAAGGGAACTAGACGTGGTCTTTGCCCATGTACTTTTCCATGACCCTTTCCAAGGCTAATATTTCATATTATTCGTAGTGTAGCATAGATACATGTATCTAACAGGCTGCTAACCAGTTCCATATCGTTGGTCTAGAACAGGGATGGGCAACTTTGATGGGGGTGGGGGCCACAAAAAGTCTGAACTCAGGTTCAACTGCGGCAGGTAGCTTAGTGGGTAAGAGCGTTGTGCCAGTAACCGAAAGGTCGCTGGTTCTAATCCCCGAGCCGACTAGGTGAAAAATCTGTCGATGTGCCCTTAAGCAAGGCACTTAATCCTAATTGCTCCTGTAAGTCGCTCTGGATAAGAGTGTCTGCTAAATGACAAAAAAAATTTAAAAATCATGATGGGCCGCAGTTGCTTGCGGGTCTGTGTACCCACATGTAGAGTTTATATCGTACAATTCTACAAAATTTTCCATGGGGCATAGAGAAAATGTTGCCGTTTTAAAGCAAGTTTGTTGAAGTTCTACACATTTTGCCATGGGGCAGAGAGAAGATTTAGCAATTTTATAACTCATTTTATGCAATTCTACTTATTTTTACCATGGAGCGGAGAGAAACATCTGCTGTTTTACAACACAGTTCCTGCAATTCTGCACATTTTGCAGTAGGGTGGAGAGAAATGTTTGAAGTTTTTAATGTGATACCTGAATGAGTGATCAATCAGATTTAGATAGCTTGCCGCTAGACTAACGTACCAATCTAAAAAATGTTAGCTGACATGGGGGAATTGAGTGACTATCAGTGACTGACATAACAAGAGAGAACTGCTGATGCACAACCACATTTCGAAATTGCACATTGTGCATTCTACTATTCTATTAAAACCTACCCTAGCCAGAAACCGTGGATAGATGGCAGCATTCGCGCAAAACTGAAAGCGCAAACCATTTAACCATGGCAAGGTGACTGGGAATATGGCAGAATACAAACAGTGTAGCTACTCACTCCGCAAGGGAATTAAACTGGCAAAACATCAGTATAGAGACAAAGTGGAGTCGCAATTCAACGGCTCAGACACGAGACGTATGTGGCAGGGTCTGCAGACAATCATAGACTACAAAAGGAAAACCAGCCACGTCGCCGACACCGACGTCTCGCTTCCAGACAAGCTAAACACCTTCTTCGCCCGCTTTGAGGATAACACAGTGCCACCGATGCGGCCCACTACCAAGGACTGTGGGCTCTCCTTCTCCGTGGCCGACGTGAGTAAGACATTTAAGCATGTTAACCCCCGCAAGGCTGCGGGCCCAGATGGCATCCCTAGCCGCGTCCTCAGAGCATGCACAGACCAGCTGGCTGGTGTGTTTACGGACATATTCAATCTCTCCCTATCCCAGCCTGCTGTCCCCACATGCTTCAATATGGCCACCATTGTTCCTGTACCTAAGAAAGCAAAGGTAACTGAACTAAATGACTATCGCCCCGTAGCACTCAACTCTGTCATCATGAAGTGCTTTGAGAGGCTAATCAAGGATCATATCACCTCTACCTTACCTATCACCCTAGACCCACTTCAATTTGCTTACCGCCCCAATAGATTCACAGACGATGCAATCGCCATCACACTGCACACTGCCCTATCCCATCTGGACAAGAGGAATACCTATGTAAGAATGCTGTTCATTGACTATAGCTCAGCATTCAACACCATAGTACCCTTCAAGCTCATCACTAAGCTCAGTTCCCTGGGTCTGAACCTAGCCCTGTGCAACTGGGTCCTGGACTTCCTGACGGGCCGACCCCAGGTGGTGAAGGTAGGCAACAACACCTCCACTTCGCTGATCCTCAACACTGGGGCCCCACAAGGGTGCGTGCTCAGCCCCCTCCTGTACTCCCTGTTCACCCATGACTGCGTGGCCAAGCACGCCTCCAACTCAATCATCAAGTTTGCAGACGACACAACAGTAGTAGGCTTGATTACCAACAATGACGAGACAGCCTACAGGGAGGAGGTGAGGGCTCTGGGAGTGTGGTGCCAGGAAAATAAAATCTCACTTAACATCAACAAAACAAAGGAGATGATCGTGACTTCAGGAAACAGCAGAGGGTGCACCCCCCTATCCACATCGACGGGACCGCAGTGGAGAAGGTGGAAAGCTTCAAGTTCCTTGGCGTACACATCACTGACAAACTGAAATGGTCCACCCACACAGACAGTGTGGTGAAGAAGGCGCAACAGAGCCTCTTCAACCTCAGGACGCTGAAGAAATTTGACTTGGCACCTAAAACCCTCACAAACTTTTACAGATGCATAATTGAGAGCATCCTGTCGGGCTGTATCACCGCCTGGTACGGCAACTGCACAGCCTGCAACCGCAGGACTCTCCATAGGGTGGTGCGGTCTGCCGAACACATTACCGGGGGCAAACTACCCGCCCTCCAGGACACCTACAGCACCCGATGTCACAGGAAGGTCAAAAAGATCATCAAGGACATCAACCACCCGAGCCACTGCCTGTTCACCCCGCTATCATCCAGAAGGCGAGGTCAGTACAGGTGCATCAAAGCTGGGACCGAGAGAATGAAAAACAGCTTCTATCTCAAGGTCATCAGACTGTTAAATAGCCATCACTAGCACATTAGAGGCTGCTGCTGCCGTTTGAAATCACTGGCCACTTTAAGAAATGGAACACAACTCACTTTAATAATGTTTACATATCTTGCACTACTCATCTCATATGTATATACTGTATTCTATAATATTCTACTGTATCTTAGTCCATGCCGCTCTGTCATTGCTTGTCCATATATGTATATATTCTTAAATTCCATTCCTTACTTAGATTTGTGTGTATTGGGTATATGTTGTGAAATTGTTAGATATTACTTGTTAGATGTTAGTGCACTGTCGGAGCTAGAAGCACAAACATTTAGCTACACCCGCAATAACATCTGTTAAACACGTGTATGTGACAAATACTATTTTTTAAAAATGTATTTGAACATTAAGTTGAGACCCACGACTGAGTTCCAAATAAATAAAACATTTAATCCGAGGGCTTTCAAAAGGGGGACCATTCCTGGTCTATACATATACAGCAGCATTCACTTATTCTACATGGATTTGTGTGTTTGTGTGTGTGTGTGTGTGTGTGCGCGTGTGCGTGTGTAGCTGGATGAGCACCGGGGCGACCAGAAGCAGCTGAAGGTTCTGCAGAAGAAGCTTCTCCAGGTGATGAAGGAGAAGGACCAGCTCCAGAGTGAACACAGCAGGGCTGTTCTGGCCCGCAGCAAGCTGGAGTCCCTGTGTAGGGAACTGCAGAGACACAATAAGACCCTCAAGGTGAGCCTTTCATTGTAGCATGATATACACTACATGACCAAAAGTATGTGGACACCTGCTCGTCGAACATCTCATTCCAAAATCATGGGCATTAATAGGGAGTTGGTCCCCCCTTTTCTTCTATGACAGCCTCCAGTCTTCTGTGAAGGATTTGCACTAGATGTTGGAACATTGCTGCAGGGACTTGCTTCCATTCAGCCACAAGAGCATTGGTGAGGTCGGGCACTGATGTTGGGCGATTAGGCCTGGCTCGCAGTCGGCGTTCCAATTTATCCCAAAGGTGTTCAATGGGGTTTAGGACAGGGCTCTGTGCAGGCCAGTCAAGTTCTTCCGCACTGATCTCGACAAACCATTTCTGTATGGACCTCGCTTTGTGCATGGGGGCATTGTCATGCTGAAACAGGAAAGGGCCTTCCCCAAACTGTTGCCACAAAGTTGGAAGCACAGAATCATCTAGAATGTCATTGTATGCTGTAGCGTTAAAATTTCCCGTCACTGGAACTAAGGGGCCATGAAAAACAGCCCCAGACCTTTATTCCTCCTCCACCAAACTTTACAGTTGGCACTATGCATTCGGGCAAGTAGCATTCTCCGGGCATACACTACCAGTCAAAAGTTTGGACACACCTACTCATTCAAGGGTTTTTCTTTATTTTTACTATTTTTTATATTGTAGAATAATAGTGAAGACATCAAAACTATTAAATAACACATATGGAATCATGTAGTAACCAAAAAAAAAATTCAACAAATCAAAATATATTGGAGATTTGAGATTCTTCAAATTGCCACCCTTTGCCTTGATGACAGCTTTGCACACTCTTGGCATTCTCTCAACCAGCTTCATGAGATAGTCACCTGGAATGAATTTCAATTAACAGGTGTGCCATCTTAAAAGTTAATTTGTGGAATTTCTTTCCTTCTTAATGCGTTTGAGCCAATCAGTTGTGTTGTGACAAGGTAGGGGGAGTATACAGAAGATAGCACTATTTGGTAAAATACCAAGTCCATATTATGGCAAGAACAGCTCAAATAAGCAAAGAGAAACAGCAGTCCATCATTACTTTAAGACATGAAGGTTAGTCAATACAGAAAACCATCAAGCGCTATGATGAAACTGGCTCTCATGAGGACCGCTACAGGAATGGAAGACCCAGAGTTACCTCTGCTGCAGAGAATAAGTTCATTAGAGTTACCAACCTCAGCAATTGCAGCCCAAATAAATGCTTCACAGAGTTCAAGTAACAGACACATCTCAACATCAACTGTTCAGAGGAGACTGCGTGAATCAGGCCTTCATGGTCGAATTGCTGCAAAGAAACCACTACTAAAGGACACCAATAAGAAGAAGAGACTTGCTTGGGCCAACAAACACGAGCAATGGACATTAGACATGTGGAAATCTGTCCTTTGGTCTGGTGAGTCCAAATTTGAGATTTTTGGTTCCAACCAAAAAACGCGGTGTGGGTGAACGGATGATCTTCGCATGTGTATTTCCCACCGTAAAGCATGGAGGAGGTGGTGTTATGGTGTGAGGATGCTTTGCTGGTGACACTGTCTGTGATTTATTTAGAATTCAAGGCACGCTTAACCAACATGGCTACCACAGCATTCTGCTGTTTGGGTTTAGTAGGAGTATCATTTGTTTTTCAACAGGACAATGACCCAACACACCTCCAGGCTGTGTAAGGGCTATTTGACCAAGAAGGAGAGTGATGGAGTGCTACATCAGATGACCTGGCCTCCACAATCTCCCGACCTCAATCCAATTGAGATGGTTTGGGATGAGTCGGACCGCATAGTGTATGAAAAACAGCCAACAAGTTGCTCAGCATGTGTGGGAACTCCTTCAAAACTGTTGGAAAAGCATTCCAGGTGAAGCTGGTTGAGAGAATGCCAAGAGTGTGCAAAGCTGTCATCAAGGCAAAAGGTGGCAATTTAGAAAATTGTAGAAAATAGTAAAAATAACGAAAAACCCTTGAATGAGTAGGTGTGTCCAAACATTTGACTGGTACTGTACGCCAAACCCAGTTTGTCCGTCGGACTGCCAGATTGTGAAGCGTGATTCATCACTCCAGTGAACGCATTTCCACTGCTCCAGAGTCCAATGGCGGCGAGCTTTACACCACTCCAGCTGATGCTTGGCATTGCGCATGGTGATCTGATGTGCGGCTGCTTGTGTGCGGCTGCTCGGTAATGGAAATCCATTTCATGAAGCTCCCGACAAACAGTTATTGTGCTGACATTGCTTCCAGAGGCAGTTTGGAACTTGGTAATGAGTGTTGCAACCGAGGACAGACGGTTTTTATGCGCTTCAGCACTCGGCGGTCCCGTTCTGTGAGCTTGTGTGGCCACCACTTTGCGGCTGAGCCGTTGTTGTTCCTAGACGTTTCCACTTTACAATAACAACACTTACAGTTGACCTGGGCATCTCTAGCAGGAATTACATTTGACGAACTGACATCCTATGATGGTGCTATGTTGAAAGTCTCTGAGCTCTTCAGTAAGTCCATTCTACTGCCAATGTTTGTCTATGGAGATTGAATGGCTGTGTGCTCGGTTTGTTATCCTGTTGGAAGGTGAACCTTCGCCCCAGTCTGAGGTCATGAGCGCTCTGGAGCAGGCTTTCATCAAGGATCTCTCTGTACTTTGCTCCGTTCATCTTACCCTGGATCCTGACTAGAATCCCATTCCCTGCTGCTGAAAAACATCCCCACAGCATGATGCTGCTACCACCATGCTTCACCGTAGAGATGATGCCAGATTTCCTCCAGACGTAACGCTTGACATTCAGGCCAAAGAGTTCAATCTTGTTCTTGGTCACCTCCCTGACCAAGGCCCTTCTCCCCCGATTGCTCACTTCTTCCATTTAAGAATGATGGCCACTATGTTCTTGGGGATCTTCAATGCTGCAGATATTTTTTGGTACCCTTCCCCAGATCTGTGCCTCGACACAATCCTGTCTCGGAGCTCTACGGACAATTCCTTCGACCACATGGCTTGGTTTTTGCTCTGACATGCACTGTCAACTGTAGGACCTTATATAGACAGGTGTGTGCCTTTCCAAATCATATCCAATACATTTTATTTACCACAAGTGGACTCCAATCAAGTTGTAGAAACATCTCAAGGATGATCAATGGAAACAGGATGCACCTGAACTCAATTCCGAGTCTCATAGCAAAGGGTCTGAATACTTATGTAAATAAGGTATTTCTGTTTTTTCATATTCTAAAAACCTATTATCGCTTTGTCATTATGGGGTATTGTGTGTAGATTGCTGAGGATTTTTTATTTAATTTAATACATTTTAGAATAAGGCTGTAACATAACAAAAAGTGGAAAATGTCAAGGGGTCTGAATACTTTCCGAATGCACTGTATAGTGTGCCTCAGTACCCATAATTCTCTTTGGTACATGTCCAAGGTGAGGCTCTCCTGTCACTGTGTCACACCCTGGCTCTGGGGACTCTATATGTTGAGCCAGGGTGTGGATATTCTATGTATTGTATTTCTGTGTTGGCCAGAGTGGTTCCCAATCAGAGGCAACGAGTGTCAGCTGTTGCTGGTTGTCTCTGATTGGGAGCCATATTTATAGAGGCTGTTTTCCCACAATAGTTGTGGGATCTTGTTCTTTTCGGTGTGTTCCTAGTTAGGTTTGTCCTTTGGATGTCACGTATCGTTTGTTGTTTTGTTTCGCTGTTCGTGTTAGTCATTCGATTAATAAAGTATGTGTGCTTTCAACGCTGCGCCTTGGTCTACTCCGTCTAACGATCGTGACACACTGACTAGTACTGCCAACCAGAATTGCATCAAATACTACTTTTAAATACTTGAACAGCTATTGATTTACTTTGCCCTTTACAATAGAACCAATGGAATAGTCTTGAAACTCCAAGCTAAATCAAGCGCACCTCAAACACTTTGACATATTTTTTTGACCCAGGTCTGATGCAACAACCAGTGGCCCTCACTAAGTTAAAATTGTATGGCAGGTGTATGGTTAGTATGTGAATACACTGTCTTTGTATTCACACCTTATATGAGTTTGTCTGTGAGTGTAACTATGGCTTTGTTCCAAATGGCACCCTTTTCCCTATGTAGTGCACTACTATTGACCAGAGCCTGGTCAAAGGTAGTGCACTACATAGGGAATAGGGTGCCATTGGGGACAAACCCTAACGGTGCATCATCCTGTATTCTGTGATTGTTCAGGAGGAGACCCTCCAGAGGTGCAGGGAGGACGACCTGAAGAGGAAGGACATCACCACTCACTTCCAGAGCACGCTGACGGACATCCAAGCCCAGATCGAGGAACACAGTACCCGCAATACCAAGCTGTGTCAGGAGAACAGCGACCTGGCGGAGAAACTGAAGAGCCTCATCTCCCAGTACGACGCAAGAGAGGCGGTATGGGGCCCTGTTACAGACGTGCTGGAGCTTTTAGGGCACTGTAAACTGAATGTGTTTACTTATATGAACACATGTATTTTATATAGCGTTTTTCATTACAATGAATAATCTCAAGGAAGCTTTAAAACAAAACAAATGTTACGATGTTAGTATTAACTAATCTCGTTCTAACATCCGTTGCACACATTTCACATCACGCACACTTCACAATCACGCACACTTCACATCACACACACTTCACACATTTATATTCAATTCAATAGTCAAATGAGATAGAAACCCATCATTATTGAACACAACAAGCCCATGCAACAATAGGGGTCACTGTGTGACAATCTAAGCTTGCTCCTCCTTGAGTCAAGGGCATGCTCAGTTGTTAATTCGTCTCGTTTCTCAGTATTGTTAATGTCTGATGATTTTTGGCTATGTTACGGATGTCAAAGTTCACCTTTCAAGTAAACATGTTACCACTAGGAATATACAGTGGCTTGCGAAAGTATTCACCCCCCTTGGCATTTTTCCTATTTTGTTGCCTTACAACCTGGAATTAAAATGGATTTTTGGGGGGTTTGTATCATTTGATTTACACAACATGCCTACCACTTTGAAGAAGCAAAATATTTTTTGGGGTGAAACAAAAAACTGAAAACTTGAGCGTGCATAACTATTCACCCCCCCAAAGTCAATACTTTGTAGAGCCACCTTTTGCAGCAATTACAGCTGCAAGTCTCTTGGGGTATGTCTCTATAAGCTTGGCACATCTAGCCACTGGAATGTTTGCCCATTCTTCAAGGCAAAACTGCTCCAGCTTCTTCAAGTTGGATGGGTTCCACTGGTGTACAGCAATCTTTAAGTCATACCACAGATAATTGGAATGAGGTCTGGGCTTTGATTAGGCCATTCCAAGACATTTAAATGTTTCCCCTTAAACCACTCAAATGTTGCTTTAGCAGTATGCTTAGGGTCATTGTCCTGCTGGAAGGTAAACCTCTGTCCCAGTCTCAAATCTCTGGAAGACTGAAACAGGTTTCCCTCAAGAATTTCCCTGTATTTAGCGCCATCCATCATTCCTTCAATTCTGACCAGTTTCCCAGTCCCTGCCGATTAAAAACATCCCCACAGCATGATGCTGCCACCAGCATCATGGTGTTCTCGGGGTGATGAGAGGTGTTGGGTTTGCGCCAGACATTGCGTTTTCCTTGATGGCCAAAAAGCTCAATTTTAGTCTCATCTGACCAGAGTACCTTCTTCCATATGTTTGGGGAGTCTCAAATCAAATCAAATCAAATTGTATTGGCCACATGCGCCGAATACAACAGGTGCAGACATTACAGTGAAATGCTTACTTACAGCCCTTAACCAACAGTGCATTTATTTGTAATAAAAAAGTAAAATAACACAACAACAAAAAAGTGTTGACAAAAAAAGAGCAGAAGTAAAATAAAATAACAGTAGGGAGGCTATATATACAGGGGGGTACCGGTGCAAAGTCAATGTGCGGGAGCACCGGCTAGTTGAGGTAGTTGAAGTAATATGTACATGTGGGTAGAGTTAAAGTGACTATGCATAAATAATTAACAGAGTAGCAGCAGCGTAAAAAGATGTGGTGGGGGGGCAGTGCAAATAGTCCGGGTAGCCATGATTAGCTGTTCAGGAGTCTTATGGCTTGGGGGTAGAAGCTGTTGAGAAGTCTTTTGGACCTAGACTTGGCACTCCGGTACCGTTTGCCGTGCGGTAGCAGAGAGAACAGTCTATGACTAGGGTGGCTGGAGTCTTTGACAATTTTGAGTGCCTTCCTCTGACACAGCCTGGTATAGAGGTCCTGGATGGCAGGAAGCTTGGCCCCAGTGATGTACTGGGCCGTACGCACTACCCTCTGTAGTGCCTTGCGGTCGGAGGCCAAGCAGTTGCCATACCAGGCAGTGATGCAACCAGTCAGGATGCTCTCGATGGTGCAGCTGTATAATTTATTGAGGATCTGAGGACCCATGCCAAATCTTTTCAGTCTCCTGAGGGGGAATAGGCTTTGTCGTGCCCTCTTCACGACTGTCTTGGTGTGTTTGGACCATGATAGTTTGTTGGTGATGTGGACACCAAGGAACTTGAAGCTCTCAACCTGTTCCACTACAGCCCCGTCGATGTGAATGGGCACGTGCTCAGTCCTCTTTTTTTTTCTGTAGTCCACAATCATCTCCTTTGTCTTGGTCACGTTGAGGGAGAGGTTGTTGTCCTGGCACCACACGGCCAGGTCTCTGACCTCCTCCCTATAGGCTGTCTCATCGTTGTCTGTGATCAGGCCTACCACTGTTGTGTCATCGGCAAACTTAATGATGGTGTTGGAGTCGTGCCTGGCCATGCAGTCATGGGTGAACAGGGAGTACAGGAGGGGACTGAGCACGCACCCCTGAGGGGCCCCCGTGTTGAGGATCAGTGTGGCAGATGTGTTGTTACCTACCCTTACCACCTGGGGGCGGCCCGTCAGGAAGTCCAGGATCCAGTTGCAGAGGGAGGTGTTTAGTCCCAGGATCCTTAGCTTAGTGATGAGCTTAGAGGGCACTGTGGTGTTGAATGCTGAGCTGTAGTCAATGAATAGCATTCTCACGTAGGTGTTCCTCTTGTCCAGGTGGGAAAGGGCAGTGTGGAGTGCAATAGAGATTGCATCATCTGTGGATCTGTTGGGGCGGTATGCAAATTGGAGTGGGTCTAGGGTTTCTGGGATAATGCTGTTGATGTGAGCCATGACCAGCCTTTCAAAGCACTTCATGGCTACAGACGTCAGTGCTACGGGTCGGTAGTCATTTAGGCAGGTTATCTTAGAGTCCTTGGGCACGGGGACTATGGTGGTCTGCTTGAAACATGTTGGTATTAAAGACTCAGTCAGGGACATGTTGAAAATGTCAGTGAAAAATACCAGCAACAGTGTGTGAAAACCTTGTGAAGACTTACAGAAAACATTTGACCTGTGTCAATGCCAACAAAGGGTATATAGCAAAGTATTGAGAAACTTTTGTTATTGACCAAATACTTATTTTCCACCATAATTTGCAAATAAATTCATTAAAAATCCTACAATGTGATTTTCTGGGGTTTTTTCCTCATTTTGTCTGTCATAGTTGACGTGTACCTATGATGAAAATTACAGGCCTCTCTCATCTTTTTAAGTGGGAGAACAAGCACAATTGCGCCAACAGTTGTTGCCTTCTCACCAAGCTGCTTGCCTATTGTCCTGTAGCCCATCTCAGCCTTGTGCAGGTCTACAATTTTATCCCTGATGTCCTTACACAGCTCTCTGGTCTTGGCCATTGTGGAGAGGTTGGAGTCTGTTTGATTGAGTGTGTGGACAGGTGTCTTTTATACAGGTAATGAGTTCAAACAGGTGCAGTTAATACAGGTAATGAGTGGAGAACAGGAGGGCTTCTTAAAGAAAAACTAACAGGTCTGTGAGAGCCGGAATTCTTACTGGTTGCTAGGCGATCAAATACTTACAGTGGGGAAAAAAAGTATTTAGTCAGCCACCAATTGTGCAAGTTCTCCCACTTAAAAAGATGAGAGAGGCCTGTAATGTTCATCATAGGTACACGTCAACTATGACAGACAAAATGAGAAAAAAAATCCAGAAAATCACATTGTAGGATTTTTAATGAATTTATTTGCAAATTATGGTGGAAAATAAGTATTTGGTCAATAACAAAAGTGTCTCAATACTTTGTTATATACCCTTTGTTGGCAATGACACAGGTGAAACGTTTTCTGTAAGTCTTCACAAGGTTTTCACACACTGTTGCTGGTATTTTGGCCCATTCCTCCATGCAGATCTCCTCTAGAGCAGTGATGTTTTGGGGCTGTCGCTGGGCAACACGGACTTTCAACTCCCTCCAAAGATTTTCTATGGGGTTGAGATCTGGAGACTGGCTAGGCCACTCCAGGACCTTGAGATGCTTCTTACGAAGCCACTCCTTCGTTGCCCGGGCGGTGTGTTTGGGATCATTGTCATGCTGAAAGACCCAGCCACGTTTCATCTTCAATGCCCTTGCTGATGGAAGGAGGTTTTCACTCAAAATCTCACGATACATGGCCCCATTCATTCTTTCCTTTACACGGATCAGTCATCCTCGTCCCTTTGCAGAAAAACAGCCCCAAAGCATGATGTTTCCACACCCATGCTTCACAGTAGGTATGGTGTTCTTTGGATGCAACTCAGCATTCTTTGTCCTCCAAACACGACGAGTTGAGTTTTTCCAAAAAGTTATATTTTGGTTTCATCTGACCATATGACATTCTCCCAATCCTCTTCTGGATCATCCAAATGCACTCTAGCAAACTTCAGACGGGCCTGGACATGTACTGGCTTAAGCAGGGGGACACGTCTGGCACTGCAGGATTTGAGTCCCTGGCGGCGTAGTGTGTTACTGATGGTAGGCTTTGTTACTTTGGTCCCAGCTCTCTGCAGGTCATTCACTAGGTCCCCCCGTGTGGTTCTGGGATTTTTGCTCACCGTTCTTGTGATCATTTGGAGCCCCAGATCGAGGGAGATTATCAGTGGTCTTGTATGTCTTCCATTTCCTAATAATTGCTCCCACAGTTGATTTCTTCAAACCAAGCTGCTTACCTATTGCAGATTCAGTCTTCCCAGCCTGGTGCAGGTCTACAATTTTGTTTCTGGTGTCCTTTGACAGCTCTTTGGTCTTGGCCATAGTGGAGTTTGGAGTGTGACTGTTTGAGGTTGTGGACAGGTGTCTTTTATACTGATAACAAGTTCAAACAGGTGCCATTAATATAGGTAACGAGTGGAGGACAGAGGAGCCTCTTAAAGAAGAAGTTACAGGTCTGTGAGAGCCAGAAATCTTGCTTGTTTGTAGGTGACCAAATACTTATTTTCCACCATAATTTGCAAATAAATTCATTAAAAATCCTACAATGTGATTTTCTGGAGAAAAAAAATCTCAATTTGTCTGTCATAGTTGACGTGTACCTGTGATGAAAATTACAGGCCTCTCTCATCTTTTTAAGTGGGAGAACTTGCACAATTGGTGGCTGACTAAATACTTTTTTCCCCCACTGTATGTCATGCAATAAAATGCAAATTAATTACTTAAAAATCATACAATGTGATTTTCTGGATTTTTGTTTTAGATACCGTCTCTCACAGTTGAAGTGTACCTATGATAAAAATTACAGACCTCTACATGCTTTGTAAGTAGGAAAACCTGCAAAATCGGCAGTGTATCAAATACTATTTCTCCCCACTGTATATACTGAGATCATGTGACAGATCATGTGACACTTAGATTGCACACAGGTGGACTTTATTTAACTAATTATGTGACTTCTGAAGGTAATTGTTTGCACCAGATCTTATTTAGGGGCTTCATAGCAAAGGGGGTGAATACATATGCACGCACCACTTTTCCATTATTTATTTTATATAATTATTTGAAACAAGTTTTTTGTTTCATTTCACTTCTCCAATTTGGACTATTTTGTGTATGTCCATTACAAAAAGCAATTTAAATTACAGGTTGTAATGCAACAAAATAGGAAAAACGGCAAGGGGGATGAATACTTTTGCAAGGCACTGTACCAATGATACAAACTAGCCCTTGCCTCTCTTTTACTGTGGAAACGTTGTGTAAAAATGCGTAATGTGTGTCTCAGTGAAAGTGATCCAATCTCCCTCTTGTTACCGCACAGAACCTGGAAAAGGTGTTCAAACATAGAGACCTGCAGCAGAAGTTGTTGGAAACCAAACTGGAACAGGCCAACATGATCATTACAGAGGGAGCTGAGAAGCACAAGAGAGAGAAAGACCACGTAAATTAGCATCTTACAGCACTTGACTGACTTCATAGATTTGACACAATTTAAGATATTTTATTCATATATAATCTTTTAGTATATTTTCAGGTCATATTGACCGTGAGAAGAGTTTAATCACATACACATGTTCAGTGTATTCACATACTGCATATTATTAAAGATCAGTGCATGGAATAAGCTACACACATGAAAAAACACCATGAAAAAAATGTTATTCAGTGACAAAGCAAAGAATTCTCAACTGATATATTTTCATTTGACATTTTTTAAAGTTGATAAATAAGGCTGCACAGTCGCAGGTGAAGGTGCAGATTCTGAAAGAACAAGAGGAAGGGATGCAGGCCCAGGTAAATGAAGACTGTCTCTCTATCTCTGTCTGTCTTCCCTCTCTCTCTCTCCTACTCTGTCTCCCCCTCTATCTCTCTCTCTCATTCTCTTGCTCTCGCTGTCTGTCTCCCCTACCCTCTCTCTCTCTCTTTTACATAGTGCTGCGCAAAAGTTCTAATTTCTCCCTCCAGATTTCCATGTACTCCGAAAAGTTTGATGAAATCCAGGGGACTGTGTCAAAGAGCAACGGAGTGTATGCCAGCTTCAGACAGGACATGGAGAAGGTAACCTAAGTCTTACTCTCAGTATATTACTATCTCCTGTAGTGATGACCTTATTTATAATCTTATATGAGACCAATGTTGTTGCCATGGCACAAATACATTCTATTTATTTATACCATGGCATTGTTGAATACTCATTTCTGATTGGCTTGAAGGGCATTCTAGAGTGTGCATTATTTAAGTGATAATGCCAGAGAAGCCGGTGTTTGGAGGATATATTGGCACGGGTGTTGTTAGCCCCAAGACAAAGTGTAGGGCCAGCAAACCGTGCCAATATATCCTCCAAACACCGGGTTACCAACATATTCAAATAATGATTTACATATTTTCATAAACAACATTATTTTGATGAATTTATTCATACTATTTCATCCTTCCACAACATATAGTCCCGACACAAATCTAGGGTTGCTACCCAAGCCGGCTGGTCGTTCGTTCTATCGGTTCGGTTGCCAGAGACGCGACCCAGTCGTTCAGTCTTTTTGTTCTGTATCTATGGACGCGACCCAGTCATTCGCTGGCAACGTTCTTATCCCTTGCTTGCTAGCTAGCCAACTACGGCTAACTTAGAAAATATGCTCACTCGTCAGGACACTGTTGTTCAGAGGAGCTAGCCAACAACACCGCTAACACAATCACTTCAAACTGAAGCTGGAAAGATGCAAACTAGCAGCACTTACCTTTTTTCAATTGACATTTCTTTGTATATATCCATAAAAGGGCGGCAGGTATCTTAGTGGGTAAGAGCGTTGTGCCAGTAACCGAAAGTTCACTGGTTCTAATCCCCGAGCCGACTAGGTGAAAAATCTGTCGATGTGCCCTTAAGCAAGGCACTTAACCCTAATTGCTCCTGTAAGTCGCTTTGGATAAGAGCGTCTGCTAAATGACTAAAATGTCAAATGGAAAAATGATGCCAGCTGATTCATGATTTCGGCTGGCTGAGAAATGCTGCCTGCCTGTCTGTCTTGTCCCGACTTCCGACACGTACATTACTATGGGACAGCTGGAGATCGAATTTGAATATTGAAACAATGTTGCAAATGTCGGAGAGACAGACAGCAAAGTTTATACAAATCTCAGCTGTTTTTACCTAAATGTTAGTCTAAAATAAATGTGACATGATGTCTAGATGCTTTTTATAGTGGAGATAAAGTTTATAAATTGCCTGGCTGGGCTGATGAGACAGTGGATTGCACAGTCAGATGGAACAGAGTAAATAGGCATTTTAACGTCATAGATTTAGCCGGTGGTAACTTGTGGAATAGACACCGGCTGGAATGCGGTTTTAACCAATCAGCATTCAGGATTAGACCCACCCATTGTATAATACCCTATAAAGCACGGTAGATGCACGGTAGGTGGCTATAGTTCATTCTTACATGTTCTATGTTTGAGCTCCTTTTGAAAGCAAAAGTCCCGAATTGAAACATTATTGGCATTGTTGAATTCGATTTTCATAATAGCAAGCTAGGACAGATGGTTTGGTTAGCTAAACTAGCAAGTCTGTTTGTTTGGTAACCAAGGCAACTACTGTAGTATCTAGTGAACTTGCTAGCTACTTCAGTGGATGTTTAACACATTTCTACCTGCAAATGAACAAATTTCGAGCAGCAAATGTGTTCAATTAGAGCCATGGTATAAAAGGGATAATCAACTCGGGGATCTTTGCGTTCTCTGGAAATAATGCAACTCCATGGAAGGTTAGTTCAACTCAACACACCTTCCACATCGCATAGCCCCTTGTTGATTATCCCTTACTTTTCAATTGAACTGGCATTTTATTTAATGTCTTGTAGATGTCCAAGAAGATGAGGAAGCTGGAGAAAGAGTCTATTCAATGGAAAAGCCGTTTCGAGGGTTGCAACAAGGCTCTTATCGATATGCTCACAGACGTAAGATTCCATACACATTTCACCCATTTTTTGTTAAACTCAGTGCACTTTTACGTTCACCCTCTATCAAAGACTTGAAAGACAAACAAGCAACAAAGACTTAAATATGACTGTAGCTCTTCTTTGACTCATACTGGAGATAGTGGCTGCATTCCAAATGGCACCCTATTCCCTGGTGCAGTGCAGTACTCTTGACCATAGCCCTATTGGCTATAGACACCATATAGGGAATAGGATGACATTTTGGATGAAGGCTATGATTTATCTTGACGAATCTCACCACGTATATTTTTACCCCATTCAGAAAACCTTGAAGGAGAAGGAGTTTGAGCTGTTCACCCTGAAGACTCAGAAGCTGGAGAAACTGTGTCGGGCGCTGCAGGAGGAGAGGAACAGTCTCTCTCATAAGCTCCAGGAGGCCAATCCAGCGGCTGCCACCAGTGTAGCGGTGACAAAAGAGAAGGAGAATCCAGAACTACCTGCTGCTGAAAAGCCCAGTGAGACACCCTCTGAAAAGCCCAGTGAGACACCCTCTGAAAAGCCCAGTGAGACACCCTCTGAAAAGCCCAGTGAGACACCCTCTGAAAAGCCCAGTGAGACACCCTCTGAAAAGCCCAGTGAGACACCCTCTGAAAAGCCCAGGGCTCCTGAAATCCCTGTTCTTATAGAGACCCCCGCAGTCGTAACTCCTGCTCCTGAAAAGCTCGCTCCTGCAACCCCCCTGACCAGAGAGCTGGCCGACTTGAAGGCCCAGAAGGCGCGTCTGCAGGAGATTCAAATGTCCTTCACCCTTTCCAACGTCGTGCCGCCTGAGTTCTTTGACAACGAGGAAGAGGAGGAGACCTCCACAGAGCCACATGGACACACTGAGGCCCCAGAAGCCAGTAGCGAGGCCACCAATGCCCCAGAGAAGAATCACATAGAGGGGTGCAATGGAGACAAGACGACAGAGGAGACCACCAGCCCATCTTCTTCTTCTTCTGCCACAGCAGCTGAAGAAGACGAAGCCCAGGAGCAGAGAGATAGGGATATGGAGTCAGTTGACTAGACTAGGGTCAGTGTAGCTACAGTAGGTTACAGTCAGAGATGGAGACCATGTGATCATAACTTATTTGAATGGGATTTTTAAGAATAAACAATAGAAACGTACTCTTTGTCCTCTTTCAATGACTCAATGATAGAAGAGGAGCTGAGGAGTTGTATCAATGGGAAGCCTAACACTGTATTGATTAGGAGTTGTATATCTTGTATTTCTACTAGTAGTTAATCATTATCCATATGACATGACCCAGGAGACCGAAGCGCTTTCTTATGCAAAAGCTTTGACAACTTTTGTTGAAAATGGAAAAGCTCTATTGGAACTCGCTGAGCGGGAGATCACAGAGGGTAGGTTGCATAATCGGCCTACAACATGGACTATAAAATCTACAAATAAAAATACAAGATGAATGATTCATTCCTGTTTAATGTGGACTATGAGTAGAAGGCTATTGAGTTGGCAAATGGCAACAGTAGGTTGAAGTCTAAAGTGCTACAAAAGAGGTTATGACAGTTATTGAAATAAACACACATATCACAGCTGCATGTATTTCATTGATAGGATCTCTACAAGACTACATCAGGAGGAATATCCATATTGAACTGGACCAATCACTAATGGGACTGATTCCAGCAGGGGCAAAGTTATTCACATGGTTCTGTTTTTCATTAGTTAGCAAGTTATGAATCCTTTATAAATAATTTATAATCACTTGTGTGCTGATACCAAATTAAAGACCAGTCTTTCAGGCACTCAAAATACACCTGGAGATCATGATGCAGCTTCTAGCCTACATAGATTCACTGATTATTATTGTACATGAATCATGATTACCAAATATGTTTACAAACAATGAAATCCACTGATTATTATTCACCACCAGCCTGTCTGTGAAGAGGAAAAGGGAAGCTGAGGAACTATGGACGAGAAACTACCATTAAGACATACAGTGCAATGGAAAAGTATTCAGACCCCTTGACCTTCTCCACATTTTGTTACATTACAGCCTTATTCTAAAATGGATTAAATAAAAACATTTCCTCATCAATCTACACACAATAATGACAAAGCAAAAACAGGTTTTTAGAAATTTGTGGAAATGTATTACAAAATATATTTTTTAAATACCTTATTTACATAACTATTCAGACCCTTTGCTATAAGACTTGAAATTGAGCTCAGGTGCATCCTGTTTCCATTGATCCTCCTTGAGATGTTTCTACAACTTGATTGGAGTCCACATGTGGTAAATTCAATTGATTGGACATGATTTGGAAAGGCACACACTTGTCTATAGAAGGTCCCGCAGTTGACAGTGCATGTCAGAGCAAAAACCAAGCCATGAGGTCGAAGGAATTGTCCGTAGAGCTCCGAGACAGGATTGTGTCGAGGCACAGATCTGGGGAAGGGTACCAAAAAATATCTGCAGCATTGAAGGTCCCCAAGAACACAGTGGTCTCCATCATTCTTAAATGGAAGAAGTTCAGAACCACCAAGACTCTTCCTAGAGTTGGCCGCCCGGCCAAAATGAGCAATCAGGGGAGAAGGGCCTTGGAGTTTGCCAAAAGGCGCCTAAAGGACTTAGACCATGAGAAACAAGATTCTCTGGTCTGATGAAACCAAGATTGAACTGTTTGGCCTGAATGCCAAGCGTCACGTCTGGAGGAAACCTGACACCGTCCCTACGGTGAAGCATGGTGGTGGCAGCATCACGCTGTGGGGATGTTTTTCAGCGGCAGGGACTGGGAGACTAGTCAGGATCGAGAGAAAGATGAATGGAGCAAAGTACAGAGAGATCCTTGATGAAAACCTGCTCCAGAGCACTTGGGACCTCAGACTGGGGCAAAGGTTCACCTTCCAACAGGACAAAAACCCTAAGTACACAGCCAAGACAACGCAGGAGGGGCTTCAGGACAAGTCTCTGAATGTCCTTGAGTGGCCCAGTCAGAGTCCGGACTTGAACCCGATCGAACATCTCTGGAGAGACCTGAAAATAGCTGTGCAGCGACGCTCCCCATCCAACCTGACAGAGCTTGAGAGGATCTGCAGAGAAGAATGGGAGAAACTCCCCAAATACAGGTGTGCCAAGCTTGTAGCATCATACTCAAAAAGACTCGAGGCTGTAATCGCTGCCAAAGGTGCTTCAACAAAGTACTGAGTAAAAGGTCTGAACACTTATGTAAATGTGATATTTCAGTTTTTTCTTTTTTTATGTATTTGCAAAAATGTCAAAAAACACGTTTTTGCTTTGTCATTATGGAGTATTGTGTGTAGATTGATGAGAAAAAAAAACAATTTAATCAATTTTAAAATAAGGCTGTAATGCAACAACATTTTGAAAAAGTCAAGGGGTCTGAATACTTTCCGAAGGCACTGTATGCACTATGTATCCTATACATACTATATAGTACTATTTCTACTATAAGGAGTCATGTTATGTTGGGGGATTGCATATATACAGCACTGTTGGCTTGAGAGCATCTCCGTAGAAAGTGTTGAGCTTCAACAACATGCTAGCCTATGCTGAATATGCTGTGGCAAATCTGGAGTTCCCTAGATGTCTTCCGTTTATAGAAGATGTTATGTTTCAGGTAACATTACCAGTACATCAAAGCCATATTTTACATGCACACCGAAAATATACATTCCTAGTTACAGACATTTTTCAATCAGCTGAAATAGTTGTGTTATGTCATGTACCTTTCTAGTTCTGTTTTCACTTGGCATTTTAGTTCCTTCTGTTTTTACATGTATTTTTCATTGCATTTTTTTTTTTTTTACATATCATTTTGGTTCATTCTGTTTTCCATGTGTTTCTCAGTTGAGAGGAGACTTTGTCCTGGATGGCCAGGGGAGGGTGCTGTTCTCTCACTGCTGTTACAGCCCTATAGACAGACCTGCTGTACATACTGACAGCCCTATAGACAGACCTGCAGTACATACTGACAGCCCTATAGACAGACCTGCAGTACATACTGACAGACCTGCAGTACATACTGACAGCCCTATAGACAGACCTGCAGTACATACTGACAGCCCTATAGACAGACCTGCAGTACATACTGACAGACCTGCAGTACATACTGACAGCCCTATAGACAGACCTGCAGTACATACTGGCAGCCCTATAGACAGACCTGCAGTACATACTGACAGACCTGCAGTACATACTGACAGCCCTATAGACAGACCTGCAGTACATACTGACAGCCCTATAGACAGACCTGCAGTACATACTGACAGCCCTATAGACAGACCTGCAGTACATACTGACAGACCTGCAGTACATACTGACAGCCCTATAGACAGACCTGCAGTACATACTGACAGCCCTTATAGACAGACCTGCAGTACATACTGACAGACCTGCAGTAATACTGACAGCCCTATAGACAGACCTGCAGTACATACTGGCAGCCCATAGACAGACTGCGTACATACTGACAGACCTGCAGTACATACTGACAGCCTATAGACAGACCTGCAGTACATACTGAAGACTGCTGTACATACTGACAGCCATAGACAGACCTGCAGTACATACTGACAGACCTGCAGTACATACTGACAGCCCTATAGACAGACCTGCAGTACATACTGACAGCCCTATAGACAACCTGCAGTACATACTGACAGACTGCAGTACATACTGACAGCCCATAGACAGACCTGCAGTAATCTGACAGCCTATAGACAGACCTGCGTACATACGAGACCTCAGTACTACTGACAGCCCTATAACAGACCTGCATAATACTGACAGACTGCAGTACTATGACAGCCATAGACAGACCTGGCTGTACATATGACAGCCCTATAGACAGACCTGCAGTACATACTGACAGCCTATAGACAGACCTGCAGTACATACTGACAGACCTGCAGTACATACTGACAGCCTATAGACAGACCTGCAGTACATACGGCAGCCTAAACAGACCTGCTGTACATGACAGCCCTATAGACAACCTGCTGTACAACTGACAGCCTATAGACAACCGCTGACATACTGACAGCCCTATAGACAGACCTGCAGTCATACTGACAGCCTTAGACACTGCAGTACATACTGACGCCCTATAGACAGACTGCAGTACATTGACAGCCCTATAGACAGACCTGCAGTACATACTGACAGCCCTATAGACGACTGCTACATACTGACAGCCCTTAGACAGACCTGCAGTACATACTGAAGCCCTATAGACAGACCTCAGTAGCTACTGACAGCCCTATGACAGACCTGCTGTAATACGACAGCCCTATAGACAGACCTGCTGTACATACTGACAGCCCTATAGACAGACATGCAGTACATACTGACAGCCCTATAGACAGCCCTGCTGTACATACTGATAGCCCTATAGACAGACGCTGTACTACTAAAGCCCTATAGACAGACCTGCAGTACATACTGACAGCCCTAGACCACCTGCTGTACGTACTGACAGCCCTATAGACCAACCTGCTGTACATACTGACAGCCCTATAGACCAACCTGCTGTACATACTGACAGCCCTATAGACAGACCTGCTGTACATACTGACAGCCCTATAGACCAACCTGCTGTACATACTGACAGCCCTATAGACAGACCTGCAGTACATACTGACAGCCCTATAGACAGACCTGCTGTACATACTGACAGCCCTATAGACCAACCTGCGTACATACTGACAGCCCTATAGACCTGCTGTACATACTGACAGCCCTATAGACCTGCTGTACATACTGACAGCCCTATAGACAGACCTTCAGTACATACTGACAGCCCTATAGACCAACCTGCTGTACATACTGACAGCCCTATAGACAGACCTGCTGTACATACTGACAGCCCTATAGACAGACCTTCAGTACATACTGACAGCCCTATAGACAGACCTGCTGTACATACTGACAGCCCTATAGACAGACCTGCTGTACATACTGACAGCCCTATAGACAGACCTGCAGTACATACTGACAGCCCTATAGACAGACCTGCAGTACATACTGACAGACCTGC